GAAACCACATCTCTTTGCGGACAACTGTCAACTGTGACTGGCCTGGCTATACTCTGCATATTGCGCAGGATCTGAAGGTTTCAGATCACCTATCTCGGTCCCACTAAGTAGCTTCGTGACGCGAGCGCGGTCTGGCATGCCAGTTCACTTTCAAACGGCAGCTTTGATCTCCTCATAAGTCTTCTGAGGTTCGGGAAGCTCTAGAATCTCATTGAGATCATCGATGACTTGCAGAGAAAGTGGTGCGACGATGTGTTGAAATTTGACATTCTCGGATCTGACACCACGCAACCAAAAGGTGGACTCAATTTGCGCGAACCAACTTTTCGGGTTACCTCGGAATCTCGTTGAATACTGTTGTTTCCAAGATTTTCGTGTCTGTTCTACTCCTCAAACTCTCAGAGACTGGAGAAGGCGTTTACCAAGAAGAGCAAGCGGGTTTCCCTCCAGATCGAGGTTGCATTAACCGCATCTTCACACTCAGCCAACCGCTTTAACTCCGACACCTCTTCCGACGGCCAACAATTGTAGTGTTCTTGGACATCCTAGCGGCTTTTGACTCAGTAGATAGATCTACGTAGTGGAACTGTCTACTAAGGAAAGGTGTGCCTAACAGGTTTGTAACCATCCTGAAGGATCTCTACAGTCACACGTCGGACAAAGTCAGGGCTTACGACCAGCTTTCCACTTTGTTTGGTATCAGCAGCGACGTGCGCCAAGGCTGCCCCATCTTATCTTTCCTGTTCAATTTTGCCATTGAAGATGTCGTCCAACGAACATTGGCAGGCCGTCAAAACTGCGCTGTTGTGCTTCTCCCAGGTGAAAGGGTCGCGAACTTGTACTATGCCGATGATATCACTTTGCCCGGGAACAATTCACAAGTCGTCCAGAGCGCTTTGAACTGCTTAGCGATGGAGGCATCTAAGTATGGGATGTTTCACCCCAGACAAATGCAAAGTACTACTCCAGGATTGGTAGGTGCCTGTGCTTGCCCTCACCATTGCTGGTGACGTCCTGGAATAAGTCTACCGCTACACCTATCCAGTGAGTTACATCACAGCTGACGGCTGTATTGGTGATGAGGTCTCACAACGGATCGCAGAGGTCCGCCTTGAATTCAGCAGACTGAGACACTTATGGAGCCGTCGAGACGTCAGTCTCAAGGACAGGGTATACGTTGCCTCTGTACGTTCGTTCCTCTTGTACAGTTGTGAAACCCGGCCGACTCGCTCGGAAGACATTAAACGATTGACAATTTTCGACAATCATTGTCTGCATAGAATTCTTCGCATATGGTGGCAACATCACGTACGCAATACAGTAGTCCGAGAGCGAGTGTTTGGATCAAACAGCGGATGCCTCCAAAACGCTTTTTTTCCGACACTGCATGCATTGGCTCGGCCAAGTATTACGCATACCAGTCTATCGCCTTCCCCGTTGAGCGTTATTTACGCTCCCCGGAAGCGATTGGAAAATGTGCAGCGGTGGACAACCAATGACATGTTGAAAAAGCGTAACATCCATCCGGACGGGTCCGCCTTCCAGGATCGAGACCAAGCGACTCGGACTGCCGGTCGTTGAAAGCGGTGCAGGTTATGGCACGGAATAGACGCCAGTGGCGAGAGTGTTGTCCAGTCGTATAGTTTGTTATTTTCTAATCGAACATATATTTAACAAAAAGCTCGAAGCGGCTTGTGTGAAACCCCAAAACTTCGTTTCTCTGCTGTTGTACTTCGTTTTCTCATCTTTTTGCCGTGAATCCGACGGCACTCTGTAACCAGAGTCAGAATGAATGAATGGAAGAATGAATGAGTATATATATATATATATATATATACCCCATGCTGAGGCTGTTGTTGCATTAATGATGCTTCACCGCAGTTGGGCTAAACCAACTTCCACTTAAACTAGTTATTTTTAAGCAGGCTAAATTTCATTCCATATTATTTGGTTTATTCTGCCTACCTGACTAATCTATTAACTTGCCACGTTGCTTACGCTAATTTTGGTCACCTTTAACTTTACTGCGTTTGTGGCATTTTGTTGAATAATCTGTGGACCTTTTGTACTTATCACGAATTCGTTGTTAACCAAGTTACTTCGTATGCTAATTTAGCGAGGAGTTATGTCTGCATAGCCGCATACTTTAACACATATTTTATTTGATAATGCTTTTTTCAAGTGATTGGCTATTGTTTGATATTCCCGGTGTGGCTGCGCTTGATGTGCATGTTGACAAGGTGCCTACCTGTCTATTACCCACTACCTCGTCCATACTGGCTCTAGGAAACAGTTGGTCGTTGCTGGAGGGGACGGGGTGCACGGTCCTTGTGGCCGTGTTAGGATCAAAGAGTGGTACCATGCAGTCACTGTGGAGCGGACCATGGTCCAGCCACCGTCTTGTGTGCGATTGATTCCCAAAAACAGTGTGTTTGTGTTTGCCTGTGAAGGAGTGTGGGCCGGCTCCGTTGATGAAACATGGCTTCTGTTCACCTGCCTCCCGGTCTTATTCTTTCAGATTTACACTGGATATGGGGTGTGTAGTTGGATCTGTGGGTGGTGAAGCGCAAGCCATCGATGGTCCCTCTGTAGACGCAGGCGTCTTGTGGCTGGGCACAATGACAGGCAAATCCGAAACCGGATGCCGCCAATCATGACACAGCAACGCATGTAACAGCCGATCTCTTTGTTCAATTCAACATCATTGCCGTTAGGAGTGTTCACAAAACATCCATGGAGTCTGCGTATTCTTACTGGTACACATCAACTAGCGTAGGAGTTTACAGAATGTTGTCAGGCTGCTTTCTTAACGTCCATAACGTTTGTAATAGCTGTCCTAAATCTCCATTTTCATGCAGTTTTCGAAGTCAGTTACCTAAAACCTTGTGGCATGCCTATTTACGTTCTATCGGATGGAACAATGGCTTGTCCCATTTGCTCGAATGACATCGTTCTGTGCTTGATGATCGCATTGAGGTACAGGTAATGTTGAATAAGCTTTTCGGAATGGCCTCCTTCGCCACACTGTTCGCATCTTCATGATGTTAAGGGCTGCTGCTGCAGCATAACCAACTGCCTGTTAGTCCTTTTATTGTACTGGTTAAGAATTGGAGTAGGTTGCTCTTATTAGCTGTATTGTCGGCTGCATTAGCATCTACGGTGACATAATTATTGTCATCAACGCATTCATCTTCGATTCTAGAAGGGGGATTTTGTTGCTCTTAAAGATCGTGTCTACGTGACCACAGTGAACGCCGATGAGCTTCACGACAATGCGACATTTAACTCTCTGCTTGTCGTTGCCTGCGGAATATCCTTGGAGTCGATTGTTATCATTTTGCCCGTAACGATGAGTCTGGCAGGCGAGTTGTTATTGTCTGTTGTCAGGCCAATTTCTTGGATCCCTGAATAAGTTACGACGGCTTGCAAATCAGTATAAATAAATACATAACTAAACGGTGTCTTCCTTGACAGTGCGAGGCACAGTCCAACTGATTGGTCTGATCACTATGTATACCGGCATCGCATGGAACTTAATATGTTTCGAATTTTCCAAAGAAGTTCTCTAACTATTTTGGGGGGACGAGCCTACTTGATCTCGCCTGTCTTTCAGGATGATTAAGAAGTTGCCAAAAACAGATGTAGATGAATCCAAGTGTTCAAGTGAAGTACTACGGGTATTCATGGAACCGTCTTCTGGTGACCTGCTTCCATGTGGGGTTTTCCCTCGAAAGAGTTTACCCGCGCTTCTATGTGTATTTGTTTCGTTTTCCCACCCAAATCTTATTGAGAAAGGTCATGTTCTATTTGCTGGACAGGACGAAATAAGCATCTAGGGCGCAGTTGTTGATCCTGTGGTAGGAAATGAAGTCACCGGTCATCAGCTGAAGTGCTGTTGGTCCATCTCGTTTTCCAAGATGATTCCGTCTTTACTTGACCTTATAGGACGCGGCTAGCGTTTGTCCTTTCCTAGTTAAACTGCTTGTTCATTATGTTAAGTTGTGTTGTGTGATTGTGGTGTGGTGTGGTTGATTATGAAGGGGGTAGTGATAGCTGAAGGGAGATTGTTTCTTTCGAATCTGACTTATCTCGATAGCTACTCGACTTTTCTTCATCATCGAATGACTTCGTCAATAGCCACTATCCGATTCAGTCATTTTTACCTATTCGCTCAACTGATGCTGTTCACATGGTTCCCCGGAGGTCTCACCAATGACACCTGCTTGGCCGTCGTCTGTTACATGGCCACTGATTTCTCAGCTTTTCACTCATTTGCGTTTGCTATCACTTCCTATATGGATGGTGCTTATCCCCACTTTATCCTCATTTGCAGTCCGTTTCATGGTCCCTACTGAACGTGGTGGTATCATAACTTCATAGACCGTCCTTGCCCATCGCGACTCCTGCGTAACTTTTATTTCCAAGGTAGATGATCCTTCTCCGATGGCATCTATTTTGATCAGAAACAGGATGGTTGTTCTATGATCGACTAATCATGACATAACCGAAGTTCATGAATACGCTGGCCTCGGATTGCGGCTGCACACATACTACCTGTCATTATTTCACGCAACCGTCATTGCAGTTTGAGTCTGTTATTTGGTGTCGAATTCGATTGCGCTGATTATTCTGGTCTATTTCTAGTTCTCGTTTCTACGCCGCATTTAGATCCCACACAGACGGCTACATCTTGCATGGCAAAATATTCGCTCCCATTTTGCGTCGCGACACGGATATTCCTGCTAATCTGAATACATCATCATTCACTTCACCCATCGTCTTCATTTTCGACATTTTAAGGATGTCTGGGCAGTTCCCCACTCTTGTATCAGCATTCCGGGTTATCCACGCGCTCACTGTCCACCTTTTTCTAAAGTCAAGTAGTTGTTTTCCCTCAATTCATCCATTCTCTACCGCATGACTCAATTGTTAACACAATCGACTACATTTTCTCTTTTGTTTCTTTCCTTCTCATCCACCTACTCCCGGACTCACTGCAGTAGGCACACGCTTGTATCGTGGGTACAATCAGGTTGCGAATCCTGATGATAAACCTCCAGACGTCACGCATTTGTGTTTCGTCATTCATGGCATCGGTCAAAAGATGGGAAGCAATTCAATTCTGAGATGCGTGAACGGGTAAGCTCTTGTCAACTTCGGTGAGGTTTGACACGAGGAAATCTATTCCTGCTATTGTTGCCCTTGTGATGACCAGTTGATAATGAGTGACTGAAAGAGATCTTATTTTCCACACCGATTCAAAATCATCCTTCCTATTTGTGCCGATGTTATTCATCCGATCAGTCCTGACGTGAGTACTGGCTTCGTTCAGTTTACATACTTGTTTCATCCATCCGACCACTCTGTCGGATCGCCTCATGCATCTTTGGCTCATCATTGCTTTGTACACCTCCGTCTGAGAATTTATATCTGGAGCTTTTTGTTGTATGCCACCTCCTTGGACTCACTCACCTCGCATGACTTTTTCGGCACTCTTACTTCTTCAGAGGAAACGACACGGGTTCTGTTCGCTCAACAAAAATCGACCTACCAACTCTTGAAATCTCGCCCATGTCATGTTTGCATTTGTGCACTCTGTAGCACACTATCTCGCCTTGCTCATCTCGGTCTCAGATTTTCGGCTGGGGCACACTTATGTCTACAGTGATTTGAACACGCCTCTTGTATGTTGGTCTCTTTATGGATCTAAACCTAGCGATGTATCTGATCGACAATTGCTCAATCAGGTTGGAGAAACTTTCCAATAGCTCCTCACGCTCTTCGCCTTCCTGACGCATTATAATTTCCCTTTGCTGGGTTTTATTTAAATTTGTTACTACAGCCCTCATCATTTCATTGCTAGCACCTACGTTCCGCACTCAGCATGTGGCCGAAAGGATTGCGCGCTTAACTTATAATCCTGAGATCACTAGTTTTAGTCCACGTAGTTGTGGGCGTTCTTGCTGTACACGCAGTCATCGTGCGACCGCCGGTGGTCACAAGGCGTCGGTACGGTGTGTCGCATTCAGTGTAACTGAAGTCGCTGCATAGTTATGTTCTCCTTGTTGCTAGTAACAACTGAATTCCATGGGCCATTGCTTCTCGCAACCGGCGATGGACCGTGGGAAGTGGCCGATCATACCCGCTTAGCTAAGGGGTTTCTTCGCTTCTGGTGGTTGATCTGTGCAGATCGGGTGCATCTTGCACTTTCAGTGGATGGTGCCGTGCACTGTCAACCGCAGATGTGACGTGGCTTATAACGCAGAGCACTTTATTAAGAAACCCTGTAAAAAACTGTCTATCTGATCTAAGCATTAGCAGCGGCAAGAAATACTGTTATCGGCAAATAGTTCGACATTTCACTGCGCATGCCGATTGTGCTTCGGCATTGTTATGGGGGTTTCTCCGCGCAACTGAAAGTGGGCAGTTTTTAATGACAGTGTAAAAACATTTGGAATTATTGTTATGTCTTTCAGACGAAAGATATCTGCTCTATTTATCACGGGCTCTTCTCTAAAATTTTCTCAGAACAATTACTTGCAACTCTGGCCGTCGCAGAGGATGATCAACGACAACCTATCCACTGCGTCGAGCGCGATTGAAAGGGATGAGGGTGCTACTACTCAGGCCTACTCATCTTGTTATTCCCATTCTTAGGTGTTTTCACTCTCATCATCCCCTTCGAACTTCACCTCCAGCACCCATCTTTCTAATCCCCAACTTCGTGGCCTTTCCTCACCTTACTTTGGTAGGCGTGTGTCTTCTAGTTTCAAATCACACCATCGCGGAGCGTCACTGTTGCCCTGTCGACAAGTCCATGTCCAACCATGTGGACAGTGTCAGTACATCCGCTTCTATTTTGAGTCCTCAATCCGCCCTCAGACTGGTATGTCTCAACTTACGCACTTTGTTACAAATCGGCCAACACTTCGCTTTTCCGAACATTTGGGATCCTCTCAATTTACCATGCACTTCCTCATTGCGCCTATACGGAAATATCGCAGCTTCGAAGGCCGATCAAGACGGTGTGGGCATTGTTTTGTGCTTCCAGTATTACTCTGCTCTGGTCGACTGGATTTTTAATCAACGCCAGATCTCGGCCGTCCGACTTACTGGTTCGTTCGAAGCTTCGAAATAGCTATGGCCAATAGTGTATGTTTATCATTGTTGTCTTGTATCATCAAATGGACGAACTCCATCACAGAAGTACTGCTACTATATTACTAGTTGGTGATCTGCACACTCAAGTTAGCAAATTGTCCAACGCAGATCTGAATCTGGACAGTCAGCACGACTTAGAATCTCGTAACAATAACGGTGCGCAGTTGCTACGCATGTGTAAACACATTCCCACTTTATGATTCGCATCTGTGCTAACGTGTCGAATGATGCTTCTACTTATACTGATGGTGAGGTGAAATACCTGTGGCGAATGTGGACTCGATTGTCTTAACTTTTCTGGTGGACACTCTGCCGTCTTCCGTCCAACCACTGCGCTTGATAGCTTGAATCATTTCTGTTGGGTTCGTCATTGGCACCCATACAGTCTCAGCACACAACCAACTATCTTTGCAAGCTTTTGGAAACCGCGTTTTATCAGTTAATTGCTGGATTTCATAACAGCTAACTCGAGATGTATCTGTGCACAACCCAACGGAATCTCATTTAGCGGAGTTGCTAGTTACAGTTTGATTTCTAGAATATCGGGAGTTAACGTAACAATGAAGACCGCCATATGCTGTTTCTGGAATAGACGACAAAATACCGCAGCGTTTACGCAAGCAGTTTTTCTGGAATGGGTGCTAACCTGTACACGCAAGATGAGAACCATGTATATTGGGGTTTCTTCTTTTATGAAATTGCTCATGTGAGCAGTTGATGATGTAATGGTGCCACACTTAGAGGGAATATTTGTGATGAGTACACACACATTGTGGATACACATCAGATTATGAGGTGTGGAGCAAGTTAGGTGCAGCTCCTTGCCACCATGGTTAAGAGTAGCATTTTTGTGCTACATGAGTTTTATGGAACCCATACTATGAAATCTTCAATGAAACGGATGCTTCCGGTTCTTTCGGTTTTGTTTGATAGTTTGGCCTGAATCTAGCCTGTCTACTACTAGCTCTGTTTATTAGGACAATACGGAGCTTCATATGCTTCGCGCCTTCAAACTACCGAGTATTGCTGTGAAACTACGCCGACACCACCGCTTTTTGCTAGCACTGAATGATCAGTAGGCGCTGTTGATCAATTTATCTATCTATTTGACTGTATCAGCTAAGGTAGCCAGCGCAAACAAGGACTCATTACACGCGCCAGTAATGCTCGCAAGAGTTCTTAAACTCTTGGGCACTTAGATGATCTCCAGGAAATATGCTTACCGTTCAACTATGGTTTACAAGATGCTACAGTGCGACGAGTGTTACTATGCTGATCAGAGGCAGCCGCTCCTCTGTCATGGAATGATAACAGTTTGACCGTGTTTGGGCACCAGTGATTTAGAGATATCGCTGTTACCTGATGGGATGCCGAATGATACCGCGGTGCTTCTTGCTGTCCTTTGCACCAGACCTCCCGGTACTACATACCTGTACTCAAACCAGTTACTTTGCTTGGGTCACCTTCTTCGTATAGCAACTATCCGGCGATTCCGAAATCTGCGCTTCACTGCTCCACCAAAATTCTAGCCCAACCGAAGGAAAACTCAGGATACCAATGACCTTGACAAAATAGCGAGTTAACTGCCATCAACAAAACACTACAACTACAGCAGACCTTAGATGTATTTATAAGTCTCTCACTGACCTTCGATTTCTGGAATAAGAAGGTCAACTGTCAAGATTAGCAGTTCTATCCAGATTACGCCGACCTTCAAGAGTTTGGTAGTCACGTGCGTGAATTCCTATGTAAACATGAATGTTTCTGCTCTGTCGATGAAACCTGGCTCCTATCCATATGTCTCCCGCTTCTATTCCTTTGGATTTAAGTTGGATATGAGACTTATGGATGGAGTTGTGGGTGATGCGGTTCAAGCCACGCGTGGTCCCTCTGTATGCACAGGCCTGCTTTGACTGTCATATGGTGGCCACACTGGCAGGCAAATTCCGACCCGGACGCTGCTAACCATATATATATATATATATATATATATATATATATATATATATATATATATATATGGGATGGACGTTGTGCTTTAGTCTCTAGGCGATTTAGAATGAACTGCATACTCCGATGGTCGTCACCGAGCAAGGCAATATCACCAGCATAGTACAAGTCAGTCGCGCGGTTGCTTGGAAGGCAGACAAAAGGCATCAGCAGTAAGCCGTTACAAATTACCGACACTTCGCCACCGCTCAACCACCACCATTCGCACGTGGGCTACTAATACTGCGATGTTCGCTCAGGCTCTACGCAGGCTCGAATCCTCGCCTTTAGATTACAAGGCAATCTTGTAATCCTTAACGCTACGGCCCGTGCATGAGTCGCAGTTGATCAGCTCTACTAGTCAACTGAAGTCAAAATAAGCTTTGTGGACCCTAATTGGTTCATTTTCAACATCTACATCACCACTGCGGATAACCTAGAAGATAGAAACAATATAATATACTTATGTGGGACTTAGGAATGAAACATGTGCACAACTTAAACGCCAAAAACCACTCGTGCATCATGTTCTTGACTTTTGTTGTGTTAACAAGCAAGCGTGTGGGTGAATAACAGTCTAAATTTTGAGCGCATAGAATGAGAAAGGGACGGTTTTTGAAAAATCACCGTGCAGCAGATGAGATCGGGCATTTAGTACCTTACGATAGCTTTTTATTTACAGGCATTAAGATGTCTCTAAATAGTGAAATCAACTTAAAAATCTCTAGCAATTCTATTTGCATTGCCCTACTTTTGTGACGCTCACATGGTGATGTCAGTGGCTTCGTTTTCGACTGTTCTAAAGCACTTCTGCTTTATTGTTGATTCGTTTTAAGCGCCCGTTGTGTGATTTGACCGCGACGCCCAATGTGAACTGCCGTTCAAACCGCAGTGAACCCATTTCAGTTAGATCATCGTGGTTGTATTTGAAACAGATGACTGCTAGAATGCTACTCGCCCGCGACACTGCACCTCACAACCGGTATTGT